AAACCATGAAAATTAAACATAATATTATTTATCATTCTAATGGTACTTGTTAAATTTTAATTCCAAACTTTATCTAATCATAACCTTAACATCCAAATAAACCTTATCCTCACTCTAATACTCAGATTCATTTTCAATGAAATAATTTTCAGTGAAATAATACAAATTCCTGATCCTCAGATACTCCACTTAATATCTTGTTCCAGTTTGATTCAATGACTTCTATGAGGAGGACTGTTTGAATACAATTTTCAAAATAACGGTGGGTCTATCAAATGGAGCTGAATTACAACGCAACTGGATGGTACCAATTTAAAAGAATCATTTAGTTAAGTGACTATATCAAATACTAAGGTATCATTGTAGTGTACATGTATATGTACATGTACCTTAATTTCATTGTGTTTTTGTGGATATATAATAAATAAGTACACACATATCTATTAGCTGATATAAATCCAGAGTGATATTTGATTGGTCAAAAAAGTCAAATGAGCTACCAACCTTTGGAAGTCAAAGGTAGCTCCTATTTCTGAAATGTGTTGGATTATTCCCAGTTATTGCCCTTTTCCACTCCATCCTTCTGCATGCAATGGAGGTGATAGAAAAATGCTGGATAGTTTTTTTTTCTTTGTATGCTACCGATTTTGTAATTTTATTATTTCTACCCCAGACCTTTTCCCATTCGGTCATGGTGATGCTATGTCCTATATTCCTACTCCAGGCTATCATGTTCCCTTTTACAATTTCTTCTTCTAATTCTACTTCTAATAAATAATTATATTTTTTTTTTTGCCTGATCCTAATAAAATTTTATCTAATTGCTGGAGTTTATTGTTAATTCCAAATTCTTTCTTGTCTTGTTTATATCTACTTTGAATTTAAAGATATGCCCACTGATTGATTTTTAGTCCCCGCTCTTGAAGTTCTTGCTGCGATTTCAAATTTCCTTGTGTATCCAATAGGTCCTTATATTTAATCATTTTAGTGATATCCAGATTATTTGGGTGAATCATCGCCTCCATTGTTGAAATCCAAATTGGTACTTTTAAATAGTGTTTTTTCCGTATTTTCTTCCAATTAGTTAATAATGAGTCTCTGATTAGGTGTCTGTGAAAATATTTCTGGCTAGTTTTCCCTACATCTCATAAAAAAGCATGCCTCCCCCTCTGCAAGTCATGGCCTTCTAAGAATAATATTCTCTTATTAGTTAAATTCACCCATTCCTTCAACCATACTAAAGAGGCTGCACTATAAGACAACTCCCAATTTGGAAGTGCCAGCCTTCCCTGCTCTTCATATCCTGCATTGCCTTTAAATTTATTCTAGGTTTTTTCCCTTGCAAGATAAATTTTACAGTTATTTTATTAAGTTCTTCAAAAAAAATTTGTGTACTTTGATTGGGATCTTCTGAAATATATATAGGAATTTTGGAAGAATATTCATTTTAATAGCTGCAATCCTGCCTAGTAATGAAAGTTGCAGCTTGCCCCATGTTTCTAAATCCTTCTTTACCTGTTGCATCAATTTATCATAATTATTTTCCTTAAATGTCTTACAATATGCTGTCAACCATATTCCTAAGTATTTAACTTTCTTTATCACTTGTATCCCCTTAACTTCTTCTAGTTCTATTTTCTGTTTTTCTGTTAAATTTTTAGTCATTAATTTTGTTTTCTTCCTATTAATTTTAAGTCCTGCTATTGCTCCAAATTGTTCTAATTCATTCATCAATTTTTGTCCTCTTTCTATTGGTTCCTCAATGAAAAAAATCATATCATTTGCAAACGCTTGCAATTTATATTCTTCTTTCTTAACCTTTAATGTCTGGGTTCTGTCTAATTCACGTTAATAATGCTTCTAATGATAATATGAAGAGCAGGGGTGAGAGTGGGCAGCCCTGTCTGACTCCTTTTTCTATTTTTATTGGGCAGGTATATTCCCCGTTTATTATAATATTAGCCTGTTGTGTATCATAAATGGTTGTTATAATATTTTCAAATTTGGTGCCTAAATTCATATTATAAATTTTTTGGATTAAAAATTGCCAATTTAAATTATCGAAGGCCTTCTCTGCATCTAAAAACATAAGTGCAATTTGTTTCTCAGGGTGTGCTTCGTAAAATTCTAAGACATCTAGTACTATTCTTAAGTTGTTCCTGATTTGTCTGGTCGGGAGAAATCCATTTTGCTCTTCATATATATGCTCATTTAACATTCTTTTTAGTCTACTTGCTATAATAGAAGTGAATATAATCAGTATTTAACAGTGAAATCGGCCTATAATTATGTATATATCGGGGATGTTTTATAGATGGCACCTTCCTTCTTCAAGATTAGTGAAGATGCACCCCAATATGAGTCCGAATTGCTGGAAATGCAAAAAAAGAGGGAACTTTTTTCCATATGTGGTGGTCCTGTACAGAAGCTCAAAAATATTGGCAGAAAATTAGAAATTGGCTGGAAGAAATGACAAGAAAACAGATCAAATTCAAACCAGAGTCCTTTCTGTTAGGGATCTTTGATAAACAAATATCAAAAAAAGTGAAATATATGATAATACACATTTTGACAGCGGCCAGATTGGCTTTTGCACAATGTTGGAATCAGCCTCATGTTCCATCAGAGGAGATGATCATTCAAAAAATTTCAAGTTGTGCAGAAATGGACAAATTAACTTTGGCATTAAAAAATAAAGACACTGCAATATACTACAACAGCTGAAACCACTGGTACAAATGGATAGACCAAAGATAGACTTCACACTAAAAGGCAAAAGAGGATAGGATAAATTCATAGTAGTGATACACAGATATATGTAAAGATTAGGTGTGTGTATATGGCATAAAATAAGGATAAAAAAGAGGTATTACAAACTGTTGAAGATGAGAATGTTTTTAATTGTTTTCTATTTTTTTTCTTTCTATTTTCTTCTCCCTTTCTTCTTTTTCTCTCTTTCATTTATGTATGTGTTGTTGGTTTGTTTTAATTGTAAAATCAATAAAATTTATTTAAAAAAGTGCTGGGTAGTGAGTGGTTAATGAGCATGTTTTGCTTCTTCCTCTTGGCAGTGCTTAAATTGGACATTTATCAGGTACCAACAAAAAATTGCAAAGTTTTTGTTTTTGTGGGGCAAAGAAGCTCTGAAGCTTTTGTAAATATATGGCTTTGAATAACCTTTGAATATTACCTTGGCACTTGATTGCAGAGTCTGTGGGTGATTTCTTGTTATGCCAGTGCTTTTATCTCTTAAAATGATCTCTTTTCACACCAATGGATTACAATGAAAGGGGTGAATATATAGGGTACATTTCAAATGAGTCCAATTCTCCAGAACTGCTAGAAAAACTGCTAGTCATGAGAACTATATCAAGTAATGTTATGGTCTATCTCCTGAGACAGCTGTAGTACAGTAATTGTTATTATCTAATCAAAGCAAAAATTTCCTTCCTATTTATGGTAGCAAATAATTACTAATGGCAAAGACTTTATAATGACTATTGAACAACTGGTGGTAATCTCTTTCTCTTACATTGTATCGGAGTTTGGGGAACCGAATAATAAGTGCACATATAAATAACATCGTATCATCAGACCATTAACAAGGCAGCTTTTGCCTAATTTTTTCCCCAAAGTTTGAATCTAAAACAAAGTTTCAATCTAGGGTAAAAACACCCCGATTATAGTCAAATAAAAATTGCTTGTTGTAAGAATTTCCTTAGAACTCTCTGGTAAATTAGTCTCATAGATCTCCACACTAGGTATTGATTTTATAAATTATATGGAAACAAGACCTGAGTATTTCTTTACTTTACTCTTCCTCTGCTAGTTCAGGGTAATGAATATGATTTCCACCCCACATTCAAATTATTCTTGCAGTGATGCTATCAACTCAATCAGGGGTCCCCAAACTTGGCTGGCTGGAGAATTCTGGGAGTTGAAGTCCACAAGCCTTCAAGTTGCCAAATTTGAGGACCTTTGAACAAGATGAATCTGAAAGATAGTGACTGGCTTAAAGTCAGTCAGCAGGTTTTGTGTCTTCCTGGTCTTAGTCCAATGGATTTAATCCCCACACATATTAAGCAAGACACTTTTTACTATTTACTTTCAGAATGCCAACTACTCAGCTAGCAGGCTGTCTTTCAGAACACATGAAGCTGTAAGCACTTAACAGGGACCAAATCACACCTCCCACCTCCCCATCCCTCCCACTGCCCAGTTTTCTATTTCTATTTGCTTTTGAAGTTGACACTCAATGTAGCATGGCTTCTAGAGACGGCTAAGCATCCCTTTTTTATTTTCATTTTTTTCTTCGAAAACCTCTACACACACTATTGGTGTCCTTCATGTCTGTGAGTTATGGTCTCAGTTGGCAGCTGGGTTGATTCATTCCCATTCAGCATTGGTTTAACACAATATACACTGAATTCCATTAGCCAGTGTACGTGCTGAAGCTTTGCAGAAGAGGAGGGCAGGCTGATTGATCATAGATGAGAAACGTTCATCTTGCTTCATGCTTCTGACCTCTCCCCTCTGCCCACAGAGGCTAAGGCACCATAACTTCATGGCTATAACTTTTCCTGTTTTAATCAATTGAACAGTGACTGTGAGCATTCATATATTCAGATGTCAGGTAAACCAGACTATGAGCCAACTGTGGGAAATTGGTTAGATCCTGTTTCTTATTGTTCAGCTGAACAGCATCTAGCCAATACCTTTTGCAATATTCTTTGCATTTTGAAGTTGATAGTGATGAGGACAAGTGCTGGCCGGCCTATTTTTTTTTTCTAATGATTCGGAGAGCAAAAACTGTGGTGGTAAACAAATTGCTTCCCTTCCCTTCCCTTCCCTTCTGGTTAATCATTCTCTCTTGCTGACACTCAGCTATATGAGTTCATAGTAGAAATATTGACTCACTCCTGAAGTCTACAACAAAGCATTCTGGGGTATTTATTGTCTCTGTAATTGTGGGTTCTCTCTGCAGCGCTTTTTGTCATCAGCTTCTGAGCAAGGAAGGCAGTTGTGAAGCAGTGGTAGAAAAGATTTTAGAGTAAGCAAGTGTTTGACATTCTCCTTTTATATGAAAATCTCAGTGCCAATTTTCCAGGACCCATAATCTTGCTCATGCAATATAAGAGTCACATCAGTTTTGTGTTCCTTAGTTGTTGCTGATAGAGGAAAGAATACCTGGGAAGGGAAGAGGAACTGAGAACAAAAGAAGATCAGCAATTAAAAAGTTTGGATCATTCCAACAATTGGAGGTGATAAAATGTGTAAAAAGCCTCAATATCTTTTTTCCCCCCATCACAGCAATATAAAAGCAATTTTATTAAAAAGAGAGAGTAAAATTGCTTTGCATGGCATAGTTCATTGAGTTGGCTTTTAATGTTTAGATTCTTTTTGCTGCCTGAAGAACCCTTTCCATTCACATTCACTTCCTTTGTCTTTGTTCATCTCCAGGAACCAGCTCTTTTTAAATCTCTTTCGAGAGAATTTTTAGCAAGCCAACTTTGGAGTTCTTTCAGTACTAAACAGTTTTAACGACAACGGAGTCTGCAGAAGGCTTTGTCTTTATCTTGTAGGTCTGTCTTTTATTTCTCCTTTCTTTGTGTGGATAGTATTCCTTGTCTGGAAAAAAAAGAGAGAGAAAAAACAATGTCTATAGAAACATTATTCTTACATGGTTAAAAAATTGTGATATTTTAGATGATTTCTGGATATCCTGCAATCAAGCATGACGTGTTCTCAGCCTTTGAGAATGAGGCACGATTGAACGGAAGAAAAAAAATTGTATTATTATGTACTGTTTATTATTCATTGTCTGGCCATTTTAACTTTTGCAGACAATTTTAAATTGCTGTCTTTGGAGCATAATAGATCATTCATTCATTCATTCATTCATTCATTCATTCATTCATTCATTCCATGAGTAGGTGAAACTGACAGAAAATGACTGGCTTGAAGTCATTCATTGAGTTTTATGACTGACAATGGACTGAATTTGGGCCTGGTCCAATAACTAATAAGTGCATCATAGAATACTTAAAGGATCCTGCTTATAGCCCAGTTGAGAACTTCAGGACTTAGCTTATTCTGGGGCCTTAAAGAAGAGTAAAAATTATTTACTTTCCATTCCTCCTACTCTTGCTACAGGAACTTGGGAGAAAAAAAATCTGACATTTCAGTGTATCTACTTGAACAATATTGATTTCTTGTATTTAAAATTACTTCAAAGTAGGTTATTCATGACAAAATAATCACAAGAGATAATAATGTGTTCATATGTACTGATCAGAGGTAGTATTCAGCCAGTTCTGACAGGTTCTGGAGAACCAGTAGTGGAAATTTTGAGTAATTCGGAGAACCGGCAAATACCACCTCTGACTGGCCCTGCCCCCATCTATTCTCTGCCTCCTGAGACCCATCTGATTGGCTGGGTCTTCTTTTGTTGCCCTGCATAGGAGAACGGAGCTGGAAAGCAGGTTAGTGGGGTGGGGAGGGAATGGGGATTTTGCAGTATATCCTTCTCCCAGGAATGGGGAGGGAATGGAGATTTTGCACTATCCATCCCCTGCCATGCCCACCAAACCACACCCACTAATCCACACCACGCCCACCAAGCCACGCCCACAGCACCAGTAGTAAAAAATTTGAATACCACCACTGGTACTGGTACTTCTGTAACTGGGGAAATCAAGCTAAATGTGGATAAGTCAACATTATCTTTCATGGTCTCGATGAACCAACACAAAAGTTTCCTTTTACTCAAACCTGACATTTTGTTTAATTTCAAGTTTATTTTCCAGTGGTGGGCATCTTAAATTTACCTTCTACTAATCTCCCAGCCCTAAGTAGTGCCAATTTCAAATTCAATGGCTGATCATTAAATAATAGCAACAAAATCTTCAAATTCAATTGTGAAATCAACTGAAGAGTCATGTTAAGTTTCACTTTGACTTAATTCATCTATAAAAGTTAAAGCGAGTAAGAAAAAGCATACAATCAGGGCTTTTCAAATTCCTTCAAAGCTCTTTAGCAACATAAATCATACAAGATGCTTATATATCTTTTCCCCTATGTTGCACAGTAATTAGTGTATTCTTTTCTCTGTGTGTATTTTCATTTTTTTCTTATGTGGCAGCATTGCAGCTTAGAATGGCAGTATTCTGAGTAGTTGTTAAACTGACTCTCCCATAAGGATTTGTTGAGGAATGGTTTAATGTAATGCAATCTTTTTCTCTGCAGTTCGTGGCCTGACCTGATCAGTTTTCAATCTTTCTTTTGCTAGCTTCTCCCTCCATATCTCATTCTGCTCAAATCTCAGAAAAGGTAGCTTGTTGATGGACAAATAGATGAGTAGGACTGAGCAACTTAATGTGTTTTTTTAAAATCTTTCTATGAGATTCAAAAGATGAAAGCACACAGAGAAAACCACACACACACAGATGCACACAGAGCAAAAAATAGGTTCCATAGTCCTTTATTTTTTTGTAATCTTATTAATAACCTATGTGGTCCTTGTCATACAAAGATTAATTAAGAAAATGGTGCTCCCTGATCACTGAAGTATTTCCCAGCTTTTTCTATACTGTATACTGTGCAATTCTAGGAGTTAATGCCACTGAATTCAATAATTCTTAATTCTAAAAGAATTATTTATTGGCCAAGTATAATTAGAATTTGTCCCCCGTGCATAAGCTCTCAGTGTACATACAAAAATAGTGATAGATCATGATCATAGTCATTGTGAAAATACATTCATCATAAAACATTAGATATAACACTTAGTGATAGTCATGGATACTAGATAAGCAATCAGCATAAATCATACTAAGGATACTAAGGTAGCACTATAAATCGTAAGATGCAAGCAACTAAGTTATAGTCATAAGCAGATAAGGAGAAATAGGGAATATGAGAATAATGATGGTAATACTGCCTTTCTAGATAGTTTGACAGTGTTGTGGGAATTAGTTGTTTAGCAGAATGATGCCATGCGGGGAAAAACTGTCCTTGTGTCTAGTTGTTCTGACATGCAGTGTCCTATAGCATTGTTTTGAAGGTAGAAGTTGAAACAGTTTATGTCCAGGATGTGAGGGTTCTGTAGATATTTTCACAGCCCTCTTTTTGTATACAGGTCCTCAATGGAAGGTAGATTGGTAGCAATTGTTTTTTCTGCGGTCCTAATTACTCTCTGAAGTCTGTGTCTGTCTTGTTGGGTTGCAGAACCAAACCAGACCATTATAAAGGTGTAGATGACAGACTCAATAATTCCTCTGTAGAACTGTATTAGCAGCTCCTTGGGCAGTTTGAGCTTTCTGAGTTGGTGCAGGAAGAACATTCTTTGTTGTGCTTTAAGAAAATGCCTAATCTCAAACTGACTAATTCTTTCCAATTGAAAAGATAAACAATGTTTCCTGAAAATTGTGGGAGTTGAAATCCAACACCTCGAGGAGATATTACACTGGGGATATGCACAGAAAAAGCGACAGTGAACATAATTCACAGCTTCTTGTTTGTGCTGCAAAAAAAAAACAACCCTACAGATTTAATTGATTTCACGTCTTCATATTAAATATAAAGTGGGCTGCATTTTGACTTCACAAAGATATCTTCCTCCCTAGCTTCAAACGAAAAAGAGAAGTTTTTTTAATGCTGTGTTGCTAAAACATTAATCTGATTAACACAATGGGTGGTTGAATGAATGAATGAACTGCTGAAGTCAGCAATAAAAATGTGGAACATATGTCAAGAAAAAGCTGGACACATTTATGGGATAACTAAGATAAATCTAAGTCTAATGACATAATGTGAGTTACTGAAGGCAAGCCTTCATCTGCCAGGTGGTTGCCATTACTGAACAGGTCTGGACCCCAAATATTATTTTTCAATGAATTGGAAAATTCAGAATATTTCACATTGTTTTAATATAAAGTGGTTGTCATTTACCACTCAAACTTGTTTTCAACAGTGATGATTTCATTCCAAGGTAATAGCCCATTGTATTGCAAATATCAGATCTGCCACAATGAACTATGTTGCACTGTTATGGTATGTTGCATTTGATTGTTAGCAGCAACCATGACTGTGGAGTCTCATCTTTATGAGTTGAATTTGCACAATGTCTCACATGTAAAATGTATTGCTAATTACAATGCTGGATCGCAGTGGCTCAGGGGCTAAGATGCTGAGCTTGTCGATCAAAAAGGTTGGCAGTTTGACGGTTCGAATCCCTAGTACCACGTAACGGAGTGAGCGCCCGTTACTTGTCCCAGCTTCTGCCAACCTAGCAGTTCGAAAGCATGTAAAAATGCAAGTAGAAAAATAGGGGCCACTTTGGTGGGAAGGTAACAGTGTTCCATGAGTCTTCGATGTTTAGTCATGCTGGCTACATGACCATGGAAACATCTTCGGACAGCGCTGGCTCTTTGGCTTTGTAATGGAGATGAGCATCGCCCTAGAGCTGGAAACAACGAGCATGTATGTGCGAGGGGAACCTTTGCTTTTACCTAATTACAATGCTATCAGTTTTTAATTGATTATGTGCCAACTAGTGAATGGTGTCACTTAGCAATCACAAAGATTTTTTTTATGACCAATTCTCAACCCAATCCTTCAAGCCCTTCAGTTGAATACCCTTTGCTGTTCTAACTGAATTCATGCATCACCGCTGTTTGTCTTCTTTTTTTCTTCCTTCCATGTTTCATAGTGTTAGAGAGCTAGATCTTTGCATTGTGTGCTTAAAATGGTAATTTGAAGTTGGTTATTTGTACTGCAAGTAAAAACTATGGCTTGATTTGTTCAATGATCCATTTGTTGGGGAGAGGGTGGTTGTCTGTCTGTGGTATTCACAGGAGTTTTCTCCCCACCAAAAAATTCAAAAACATCAATATTGCTTCTATTCTACTTCTTTAAAGTCCAACTTTTACTACGACAGATCGTCATACGGAAAACCATTGCCTGAACAACTTGGATCTTTGTAGATATAGACATGCCCCAGCAACTTAATATCTTTTTCAAGGCCTTCACTGCTGCTCCACCAAGTTCTATTCTGCTGTGTGTTTCTTGACTTTTTCTTAATATTAGTAGTTGATGCTAAAAGGCAGAAGCTGTCCATCATTTCAATATTTAATTGTCAATTTTAAGGTTGGTTGCTGTACCAATATTTTTTTACTCTAAGAAGACTAATTTAATTTTGGTCCCGTTTTCACTCTGTTTGTTAATTTTAATTATTTAAGCTTACAGATCATTTGCATTTTCAACTATTAGACATTTGCATTTTCAACTATTAGAGCAGTGAATAGAATAGAACTGAAACCCCTCTATAATTTCCGATAGGTGGTTGTCCAGTCTTTTCTTGAAAACCTACCTCCAGTGGTGAAGTACCTGCAACCTCTGAAGGCAAGCTGTTCCACTGGTTAATTGTTCTCACTATTGGGAAGTTTCTCCTCAGTTCCAGGTTGTTTCCTCCTTGATTAGTTTCCATCCATTGTTTCTTGTCTTGTCCTCTGGTGCTTTGGAAAATAAGTTCTCTTTTCTTTGTAGTAGCCCCTCAAATACTGGAATGCTGCTATCATGTCACCCCTAGTCTTCTCTCTCTCTCTCTCTCTCTCTCTCTCTCTCTCTCT